AAGAAAAAGAATTAGCCGTTAAGGAAGCGGAAATTAACCAATTAACCCAAGAGATTGCCGCAAAAAACGAAACAATTACTAGTTTGAGAAAACGTATTGAGGATTTGACTAGTCGTAAAGTTAAAAAAGACCAGAAAGAGCAGGCCGCAATAATTATTAGCCTGGGAAAGCAAATAGAAGTCCAAAAAGAACAAATAACCGAAGCGGAAAATCACAGAGAGCGGGCCGCAAGAGAAAAACAAGCCTTAGCAGAGGAAGTAGAAAATTTACGGCAACAAAGCGAAGAATTAATTAAACTAGTGGAAAAAGATTTCCAAACATTTTCGGAGCAATTAACCGGTTTACAAGCAATTAGCCGAAAGTACGAAGAAATGCTGGCTTGTTTGGGGGTCACGGAGGAAAATTTGGCAAATGCGAGAGAAAATCCGCAAACTTTTTGAGAAGAATTGCTAGGAAAAAATGTGAAGGGAGAAATCCCAACACTCTTCGATATTAAAAAGATCAGCGGAATAGGGAGTTTACAAGATTTAATTGACGAAGTGGAAAAATTAAGAAGTGAAGTAAGCGAATTAACTGAAAGCCAAGAACCGACCGGAGAAAGAAGTTTGGCTGATGAATTAAGCACGGCTTCGCAGTTAACAGAAGAATCAATAAAAGCCAAGCTTAGCACAGGTTTTTTAAAAGCAACGGAGGAAATAGTCGAATTAACTGGTGCAGAAATAGCAACCGCAAAGAAAAAAACAGAAGATTTAGAAAAGGATTTGAAAGAATTTGCTGACCGAACTGGTTATTCGTTAGAAGCATTAAAATACCTAAGCTTTACGGAAAATTATTCACTTAGGCAACTTATTGATAGCCACGCTGCGGGATGGCAACTAATAGAAACACAAATGGACCCAACCGGGAAATTGTTTCCGGAATTTGGTGAAAGTCGCAGAAAAAAAATTTATGAAAAAGCTGCGGAAAAGTTAAAAAAATTTCCCCAACTAGAAGAAGCATTTGTGAAAATGGAGAAAATTTTTCGAGATTTCATAGAACAAGTGATAGAAAAAGCCGATATAGAACTAAATGAGCAAACTTATGATAGAAATGAAAACCAGACGAACTTAGACACTCACCAAAGAGTTTGCGATGCAATCTTGGGAAAATTGGAAGCAAAATTAAGGGAAAAATCTGGCAGTCAGGAAAACGGAGAAAAGCAATTAGAAAAACTAAAAGAAAATAATGCTGATTTGCAAAAAACGAACCAACTACTCAAATGGACTACCGGAATTGGTGCACTAGTTTCCTTAGTAAGTATCGGAATAAACTGGTTTCGCAAGCCAAAGTTGGTGAAACCAAAAAAAAGCTGGAATGGACCCCCCCCCCCCCCCCCCTCCCGCAAATAATTAATTCTTGAACGTTTGACTAACAAAAAAGTTGGTAGTGGGATTGGAATAATAGCTAGGAGTAAAATTATAAGTATGGTTAGGATTAGTAATGTTAATATCCCGGGTGATAAGAATACACCGTTTGCCTTGACCTATATTTATGGTATTGGTCGGTCGCGAGCCAAGGAAATAGTTGCCAAACTTAAAATTTCCCCCCAAAAAAAAGCGGGTAGTTTGACCGATGAAGAGGTTAAATTAATTAACGAAGAAATTAAACATTTTCCCGTCGAAGGAGAATTAAGACGCATTAACCAAGAAATAGTTAATGAGGACGCTCGTCTGGGCTCTTATCGGGGTCTACGTCGTTTTAAATTGCCGGTTAACGGACAACGAACTCGGCATAATGCTCGCACTTGTAAGGGACCGGTTCGCAAAACGATAGCCAATAAAAAGAAAGCCCCCCGACCGAAATAAAATAACAAGTAAGTTTTATTTTTTGTGAAAGGAAAGATTACAAAATATGAAATTGATGTCTACTATAATTTGTCTAGTTTCTAGTATTCAAAGGAATTGGTTGAATAAAGAATTGAGGCTTATTTCGCATACTAATAGGAATTGTTTCGTTTTTTGCGGCAATCTCTTGGGTTAATTGGTTAATTTCCGCTTCCTTAACGGCTAATTCTTTTTCTT